AGGAGGCGTCACTCATGTCATACCGTCGCCAAGGGATGCCATGCTCTGCTGGATCCTGTAATGTAGACATCCCTCTCATTTGACCCTTTTTAGAAGGTCCAACCACCTCCTTCCAGATAAGTGGATCCCATTCTGGCCATGATTCCTGGTTTGGCCCATGCTTCTCCACATATTTTTGGTGAGCATTGTTCTGTTTCAAAAATAAAATTTTCATTAGTTAGTAATTTCAAATGATAATGGGAAATCAAATGAAAAATAATTATTTATTGTATACAATAGAAAAAAAATTGCATCACTTTTCTTCTTTTATGACAATATAATATTAAAAATAAATAAAATTAATATCATAAAAGAATCAGATTCTTACATATGTCTGCTCAGCCTGTGGACATACCCAAGCGGGTGGGGCATCTTCTAGAGCATCAGGTCGGCAAGTCGTGTGAGTCAACAAGTACGACTCTAAAGGTGTCGGCCTAACTCCTCCTAAGGTGTCGGCCTAACTCCTCCTCTTTTAGCTGCCTATTAAAATATCAATAAAATGAATAACTTTTCCATTTTATGGTTAAAAAAAAAATTATATGTCCACACTTTATATAAGTATATCTTACTAACCAGTCGATCTTCATGGATCCCAATAGAAAGGCATCCAATTGTGTGGGTCACACAATCACCCTTTGATCGGTTTTGCCAACCTCTTTCCTGGAGTACAATATATTTTGGACTCCTCCATTTTGCCAACAAAATTTTAAAGGTATCCTTGTGCATGAACTCCGGCAACTTCTTCTCCCTGACCCACGCCTTTCGAGCTCGATGAAGCTCGTCTCGAAAACGATTTCGATAATGTAATCTCTAGACTTTATACACACGAGCATCATCCTCTTCCCAATAATATGTCCTCTGCAATGAAAAAAAAAATAAATGCTAATAATTTATTTGATTTTTCTTTTAAAATAGTAAAAATTTGCTTAAATTGTCATTTTTTTCACTATTATAAATACAATAAAAAAAATCATATAAAATATACCTTGTACTTCCATATCAAATACCATTAGAGTAAGGTGATAGCATCTAAATAAATTCTCATAAAATACTTCATTTTATTCTATAATTTTCATACCTGAAAATTCTCCCAAGCAACCCT